GCTGTACTATGTTTTATCTAACTTTACAGTAAGTTGAAGTAGCATATGTATATATTAAGTTATACTGATCTTAAGGATATGTAAGTGAAGTCTGTTTATATACAAAATTAATGAACTATAGATCATATGCATCATAGTACATGTGCCATTACGGTGGATCCCTGTGGTATTTCTTATTCATATCTTGAATGACACCACTATTTGTTCACTCAATTGTTCTATTATTGGTATTTTATGATTAGGTGCAGTCATATATATGAATAAATTGCTTTTCTCTCTGTTGGTTTCCGTGTACACTGCTACCTTTCTGGTATTAATTAATTTAAAACCTGAATCCACTCGTTCACATATTACTATCGCATAAGCTCTTCTTGTCTCTTACCAATAGAGCTAAAAATCACATTAATTTCGAAAGCCAAAATATCAAGTGTTTCTGGACTGGAACTGAAACCTGTTGTGTTTCTGTGTTTGCTCTGCTCCCATTTTGTATTGTTTACTGGACTTTTAGAGATCAAATATTGCTCGTTATCTCCATATACATTATTGATGGATGTATAACCAGTTTCCCCGAATTAATTTTTATACTTAACATTTTAGAAGATCATCCTCTTTACGACTAGACCTTATACTAGAAGGCACAAGCCTTGGCAATGGGACGTAAATTACGTAGCTGGACGTTTTATTTCAAAGTGGAATCAAACTGTAAGTCTGAATGAGGTTACTTTATGTCTTACTAGCTGATGCGTCCTCTGACAAGAGTCGCAGGGAACAGTTTCTCATATAGGCACGGTTTAGACGGAATGGGGAAGCTGGAAACCAGCATCATTGACTTACAGAAGTCCAGCGCACTGATTCAGAAAGTTGATGAAAATAACGAGAGAATTCTTATTACTACATGTATTAGAGTAGATCTGGCGGTTTTAATACAATGAATGACAAGTTTAACGTAGGAAGCAATTTTTAAAAGGATTTGTAGAGAGGAATGATCTTACATGTACTAGTCACGAAATTTGGAAGAAAACATTTGATTGACATCAGAGAGTTTTAAATAGAAGTTGTATTTATCTAAATCTAATTAACATTTTATGCAACTGTGACCATTTTATGAGAAAATTAACATGGATAGATCTCAACTGCACAATCAATCAAACTGTTCAAACCTGATTACGCACCTTAAGTTGTGTCACATGTGTAGCAAATAAAGCTTTATGTGAAATAAATCTCTCTAAATTGACCACGACCTCGTGTTTCCGAAAAATTAATTGGGTATTCGATCCCAATCAAGCCAAACCCGATCCAGTCGACCCCGTTCTTAATACAACATACATCAATAACAACTGCAATTTTATTGCTTGTCAAAAACAAAGTAAAAAAAAGATTGTAAATAAAACGTTTTATTAAACATAACATTTCATTTATCTAATTTTCATTAACGTTTTAGAAGATTTTATTCAACTGTGACCATTTTATGAGAAAATCAACATGGACAAGTCTCCATTGTCTTAAGGATCGCAACACATGACCATTGGATTAATTTTGCCGATATATTGAATACAATAGAAAATACCTATTATGTGTTTAAGCACCTCAGTCATAACGTCTGATGACCTACTAATATTTGCTTGTCTAGGAAATTTTAGCAGTTGATAGTGCCCATTATCCAAAAATGTATGACTGAGCTAAAATTCCCAGTTTCTTTAAAATTATGGATGAAGGATATGGAGATAAAGAACAGTATTCAATATCAAAGTTCATAAATCAATACAAAATAGAAGCAGAGCAAACCTGCGCCTCCGAAACATCAGAGGTGGGATCAGTTGCCAAGGAGGAGTGAGCATCCCTTGCTGATCGGTCACACCCGCCGTGTGCTCCTTGTCATAATCGGGAAAATCCGTCGTCAATTCAGTGTATAGATAATGGACTAACAATTATTATGAAAAACGTCAGTCAGCATTTGTCTCAATGATAAATTGTATTTGCTGACGAGGTCATTGTATCGACCACAGAATTTACGAAATGATGACTTTAAACGAGACTGTTGATATTCTTGTTTTATCAACTTGCTTGTCTATCATTTAATCGTTTTAGAAATTGTTTATACGCAAAGTATGCTCTTGCGTGTCGAATCAACTGAGATATATACACTCCGTATGCACGTGATGAAGGTATATTGCTGCATAAATAAGGGAAGTTGACGAAAGAAAAGTCAATACGTTTATCATTCAGTTTGGTTTTTGGATTACCATTAACGTCTTTTTCAAATAAAATATCCAAGTATGAAACAGATGTGTCAGACTCTGTGGATTCTTTTTATTTCAAGCTCACCAGGATATATCGTATCGACTATCTCTATCTTTAAAGTTACTTTATAAAGTGAAAAAAATGTGTCATTCAAGCGCTTCCAGAAATTCGTCGTTTCAATAATTTCCAAATGAAATATTTCTTTTCGAATTAAATTTACGTTACGAAATCCTAAAGCAGCATATGTTGTGATATTACACAGGTTATTAATATAAATGTTAACTTCAAATCTCCATCTATGTCTTTTAGTCTAAACAAGTGTAGTAAAATTTCGTTGGTCACGTTAATAACTATATAATCAGGGTTTAAAATAGTTTTTACAATCAAATATTATCTCCTATGTTCAGTCAATGTTTGAAACGTTCCGAAGATCAAGATCTGACTCAGCAGATCTTTGGAAAGTATATAAGCGGGCTCATTCAAATGTCCAGTGTTCAGTTATTGAGAAGCCGTGGAAGAGAGAGGACGCCTCTCGGACTAGGTAAGGTACTTGTGTTATCTCATTTGCGGCGTCTCAACTTCTGCAGACGGACCATTTTATCAGTGACAAAAAATCTTAAAGGTTGATAACAAAAAGTATCTTAACAGTAGAGCGAACAAGATAGACCGTTTGAGATACAACACACTTTTGATGTGGATGGCAAGCGTCTTACTCCTAATGATACTTATCTTTTAATTAATCAGTATAAACCATCTACTCTGTCAAAATGCAAAGTTCCTCTTTGTCTAGATTTCCCGTGGACATGTGTGTCTACATACTGTTTACGCACTTCCTTCATCAATATTCATGAAAAGACTCAATTCTTAATTGCAGATATTGCTTAATTGTTTTGTCATTACAACGACTTTTATAGTAAAAATGTGTGGAAAGAATTTCTCATTTCAATTCATATATTTCAAATCATTAAATCATTTTGTTTCGCAGGAAAATCGTTCTTATATGTATACTGTTTTAAATCATTTAATTTTGACATAATAACTGAATTTGAATTTGTTCACACAAAAATGCCCACACAACTTTGCACACTGGGTATATCCAACAACATCTCTGCAACGTCCGGTAATTATCACTGGTACACAGGCATCATGACCTATCTGGTTGTGACCTTCAACCAAAGAATAGAAGTAAATACCATCAAAGCCATGAAACAAGAGGAAATATTGTAAATGCATTCCGAGGAGTGATCGCGAAGTTCGCGAACTATCTTTATATTTACAAAACCACAATTCAAATCAGAATGAAATTTGGCACACATAGAGAATTACACATGTTCTATCAAAGCTGAACGTTTTAGACGTCACAATGTGAAAATGAAAAGAAATATGTGACAAAAAATGGTTGAAGTCGTAAAAAAACGGCTGTAAAGTTAAACGTGTATCTAAATTCCTTTGCAGAAGTTTATAATAATTTGTACATGGTTTATGAAGACAAAAGACATGCCAGAAGTTTTGTCATTAATTGGACTGATTGTTTAAACGAAGGAAGGGAGATGTTCAAAAATGATGTTTGTTCTGTTGCCCATTGAAAGCAAACTGGGAAAGAGACGTGTCCTTTGTTTAGTAATCTGATATAAAAGATTGCCAAGTTACAGTTTGAAAAATAGGTAAATATCTTAACAATAATATAATTATGAAATCCCTAAAATATCGTTTACTTTAGACTTTAAACATATCAGATATGATTAATTAACACTTATCCACATGAATTAAACGACATCAAAAGACCTATCTTGTTGTGTCACCATGCTCATTCTGCATAAGGGTATTATTAAAAGCAAATAACATCAAGGACAAATGCACTGTTTCTGTTGTAAAAAATAACTAATAAGAGGAAAAAAATAGCTTTGTGACAAAACGCCAAAGAAAGTACCGCCTATATACGTGATCCGCACATTAGCAAATGATATGCGCATTAGCGGAAATTTTGAAAAAATATTCATTACTGAAACCCTATATCATTTCTTTGTTAGAAGTAATTCAATTAGTTCGCGAACTTTTTTATCACCCCTCGTATACTTTGCGTGTATGATATTTAGCGGAATTTTTTTTTTTTTAAGCAACAACGTGTAAGCGTAGACTTATGAAGCGCTTTCTAATTATGCTTAATATGAATGAACATGTTCTTTAGCGATGTACTTGATTTATCTGAAGGCGCTTTCCACGAAAGGCAATAAAGAGAATACATAGCCAAAGGTAATACGTTTACAGTAATTACTGTGATATTACAAATTTTCGTGGGGGTTCATTTTTCGTTGTTTTCGAGGTATGAAGAGACACACGAATTCATGTCCACTACGAAATATAAAGTGTTACATACGTCAAAAATTCTTCATCCACGAATTTAAATTCCCATGAACGATGCAAAATTTTCTACTCACCCAAGGAAAATATGTGGTTTTACAGTAACTCAGACTTCGAGAAGGGTTTGATACTCACAATGGTGACAATGACCTTCACTGCAGTGCCGGGTTTCCCTGTGATCGCCTTGACACGGAAGACCGCCATTACAACTGCGCTTCCTATGTTGGGTTCCTCCACTACACGTTACTGAACACTGACCAGTCACTCCAATGTCCATGTTGAGCTAAATAAAAACGAATGCTTATCATTTGACCGTACACTGTCAAAGGCGTCCCCATGCATGTTTTCAAATTCAATATGTGTCCTACTTCACTTAGTCATTCTTTACGTGAACGTACGTGGACACTGTTGATTGTGACATGTCTGTGTCTCTGTTTGATTTCCCGAGCAGTCCTTGCCACCGTGTTGTGGGGAGGGATTGTCGCAGATTCGATGCCTATTTTTTACTCCACCATCGCACTTAACAGAACAATGGCCCCATAGGGACCAGGCTCCCCAACTTCCGTCAGTTGCTAAACAAAGAAGAAAAGAACTCTCTTAAAACTATAAAGCTGTCAACAAACCAGAAATACGTTCTGATGAAATTCTGGAAGGCATGAACGTACGTGGACACTGTTGATTGTGACATGTCTGTGTCTCTGTTTGATTTCCCGAGCAGTCCTTACCACCGTGTTGAGGGAAGGGATTGTCGCAGTTGCGATGCCGACGCTTTACTCCACCACCGCACTTAACAGAACAATGCCCCAATTTAGACCAAGCTCCCCAACCTCCGTCAATCGCTAGACGAAAATAAATCTCTTTAAAATACAAAGTTGTAAAAACGTTCTAATGAAATTCTGAATAAACATAAACTCATTAGTTGTTGTCTTTGTAAGCTTCAAACCTTTCACTATTCACAGCATTTTCACATAAATCGACGTTTTTCAGGAGGGTTTTTCTACCGGGAATCCTTGGTCACTTTTGCTGTGTTTAGTATGTACATCAAATAATTATGGAAATTCCATGTATTCTGATACATACCTGTAATACACTGTGGTTGATGACAATGTCTTGTACCCTTTCTATGACCCGTACATGCCCGGCCTCCGTTTAGTGGGGGAGGGTTGTTACATTGGCGCTGACGATGTTCCTCGCCGTCTCCACAAGTCACAGAACAAGAAGTCCAACTAGACCAGTCCCCCCAACTTCCATCAATTGCTATAAATTTACAAACAAATATGATTTCTTAAAGCTGAATGAAATATGAAGATAATGAACAATATTCAACTTCCACAGTCCACAAAACAGGAGCGGAGCAAACACGGACCTCTAAACAATCAGAGGTAGGATGAGATGCTATGAAGGAGTGAACATCTTTTGCTGACCGGTCACACCCGTTGTGTGCTCCTTGTCCTGATCGGGAAATAACGGGAAAATCCGTCGTCAATTCAGTGTGTAAATAATGACCCTAACAATAAGTATGAAAAATGTCAATGAAATTATTAAGCGCCCGAATCAATAGATCCAAGGCGTATATTGTTTTTGTCCTGCCTGTTTGTCTCTCTGTCTGTTGTCAAATTTAACCTTCGCCATAACTTTTGAACTATGAGAAAATGAGACTTCATAGTTGGTATGTATGCTCCACTAATAAAGCTCTACAAATGACACCAAGATCAATGACCTTGTGACCTTGACAGTGACCTATATCCTAATTAGCTTTTTTGAACTTTTGCCATAACATTTGAACCATAAAAGATTACGAGTGAAACGGTTCACCGCGGTATCGATTCAACTTGGTAAGTCCGTATTTCACACAAAGATTCCTCATGACCTAAGGGTGTGTCATGACCTTGACGCAAGGTCACCTGTGCAAGTTCAAGGTCACTAATAGAAAAATTTCATGATTCATGTTTGGCACATGTCTTTCTTGAACTTGAATCTTTAACTTGAATTTGCTTCTTCACACAAATATGGCTTATGACCTGAGGGTGTGTTAGGACATCGAGCCAATGTCATTTAAGTTCAACGTCACTGAAATAAAAAAATTCATAATTCATGTCCGGATCATATCTTTCTTATGGATAAACTTGGTAAGTTCCTATTTCACACAAAGATTTCTCATGTCCTAACGATATGTCATGACCTTGACGCAAGGTCATCTATGCAAGTTCAAAGTCACTGAGAGAAAAAAGTTCATACTTTGTGCCTGGTCCATATCTTTCTTGGAGGGTTCCTCATTTACACAAAGATTGCTTTTGACCTGAGGGTGTGTCATGACTTGACCTTAGGTCATTTGTGCAAGTTCAGGGACACAGACAGAAAAAAATCATAATTCGTGTCCGGTCCATATCTGTTTTATGGATAAATGTGGTGAGTTTCCATTTTACAAAAAGATTCCTTAGGACCTAAGGTTGTGTCATGACATTGAACCAAGGTCATTACTGCAAATTCAAGATCACTGACAGAAAAAGTTCATAATTTGTGCCTGGTCTGTATCTTTAGTCTTCATTTCTTGTATTAGGTTGCACCTTCGTTTCATTCATAAAACATATAACGAGCAATTAAATTTGCACTAAAATGTTGTAGCATTTCTCTCTTCTCTTAGTTCCATAAAATATTCATGATTTGGCACCTCTGAAAAACCCAGCGGGGGGCGGGGGGTATTTTATCCCTTTTGGACATTTCTAGATAGTTACTATAGGAAAAATTCTTAAGGAGACGTTGAGAAACATACAAACCACAAGGTGGCCCTCTGCAAGGCACTAATTTCGTAGATTGTCCTACACAGTGTCTCCCTCCGTGATTTGGCGCGGGATTGTCACATGATCTGTGATATGCCTCGCTTCCATTACCACAAGTAACGCTGCAAAGTTTCCATCCACTCCAGGAACCCCAATTTCCATGAACAGCTATATATTTTTAAATTGAAGGAATGCATTTTAATCGTCAAAAAATTTGAGAATTGATTTTGCCTTCATGTTTTTTTTTATTACCCTACAACACATAAGGTGACATTTCAATAGCATGAAAAGCAATAAGGTAAAAAGAGTGATTAAAATTCACCACAAGGTTTAAAACAAGATCTCATTTCAACGTCTGGCCCAGAACAAGGATTTCCTCCATTTGTAGGAACAGGGTTATCACAAAGACGGGTCCGCTCTCTGTAACCTGCCATTCCACAAGATGTACTACAGTTCCCCCATTTACTCCAGTCTCCCCAGTACCCATCTACGGCTTAAAATAAAAGAGACAGACACGTGACATAAGAAGCGAATGAAGACACTGCATTTGATAAGTTCTGAGTCAAAGAACGCTAGCAAAGGAGTATCGTGAAAATGTTATTGTTAAGATATTGCATTGAAAAGTTAATCACTTAGTTAAGATAGTTTGAGGAGTTCAATTTAAAAATGTGTATTTAATTTATACAACTAGTATATAATGTTTACCTTGCTGTAAAGAAGACGATGTTGTCTGCTGTAGGTTTATTTCACCAAAACAGTTGGTAACTGTAATACATAAAAAAAAATTCAAATGTTTTTATAAATGTAGTAGTATGACATTGCCGCTGAATCTAGGAGAGGGGAATTCAATCTTAAAAGAAGTTTTGGCTATTCAATTTCAGTGAAATATAACGATTAAAATTACAATGAACTGAAATTATTTGCACTTATTATATATACCCCACGCAAGAAGTTACGGGAGGTATAATATTTGACCCGTCCGTCAGTCAGTCAGTCAGTCCGTCAGTCCTATTTTTTGTCAGCGCAACTCCTCATAAACCGCTGCACAGTATTTGGTCAAACTTTGCAGATATTTAGGACACAATGTGTAGATGTGCATATTACTAGGAAATTCAGATTCATCATTTTTTCCGGGAATATCGGCACTATTAAACTTAGATTTTTGGCCACACCTTGAATATTGAGATGAAGTTTGTCAGCGCAACTCCTAATAAACCGGTGCACAGAATTTGATCTAATTTGTAGATGTGCATCAGGAAAATTTTGATTCCTTTATTTTTTTCAGGATTTTTGGCACTTTGAGTTTGGGGAGCGTGGGGTATGTGAGCATGCTCACTTTTTCTTTCATTTATCTTCTCCTCACAAAGAAAGAAAATTAAATCCGTTATTGGGTGCTCAAAATTGACTGACAATTTGCTAACGAATCCAGGTGTATAAACCTCACATCTGTGTTTGCGCTAATTGCAAATACCAACTTTTGGTTGCCTGACGTTATCATCATATAATTCAAGGGGTTTTTAAGGTCTTAAAAACAAGGGCATGTGCCTTTCCATTTGGGAAAATAGCGACATTTGGTTGAAATTGAGAAAAATATATTTAACATGTTTCTAATTAGACGTTTTTTTTTCGTTTGCAAGGTATTTCTTTGACATATATTACATTCAGTCAATCAGTTTTTGGAGAATGCCTTTTTAGATTTTTATTAAGAACAACATTTTTAATATATATACATTACTGAGTTTGGACATTTTTCGATCATATTTGTTTGTTTCGATTCTCTTGGGAATTTTCTTTTATACCCCGTAATTTTAACCATTGGGAATGAGGCAAGCAAGTTGATACAAGCCCCGTTTAAAGTTTGAAAAGCTCAAAAACCCACTTATATAACAGCATGATAACGAAGTCACATCGAAACGAGTCAGTACAAAAAAAAACATGCTTTCCTCTTTGACTGCCTGTAAGTCTATCCTGCTTTGTTTTCCATATTTTTTCTAAACAAGCTGATTTCTAGTAAAATGATGTTTCTTAATAAGTTACACAAATAAAGTTTACATTTCTTTTCGCTTCAATGAATTTTGACGGAATAACCTTTTTCAGCCTTTACGGTTTTTTTTTTTTTTTTTTTGGTTTTTGCAATGATAAAGATCAAGTCTGTCTGTATTTCCTTCGTTTTTTTTTTTTTGTTTTTTTTGTTTTTTTGCGTTTTTTTTTTTTTTCATTGAAAAGACAAGTCTGTCTGGACAACTCGTCATTGAGAATGCTTCTTTGAATAAAAGGACTTACCTAAAATTGTCAAACATGGAAGAAATCTTCTTGCTGTAAAACCAGAACGAAATAATAATTTATTTACTGCGTCAACTCGTTAAACCAAAAAACATGAAAAACTGCCTGTACTACCTTGTCGAAATCAAACTGGTCATAAAATTTCAATTTACTAGAAGATAACAGCAAATAGCTGATAAAAAGAATGTTAAACTTATGATAGTCAAACTACTCACAAGAAGTATAAACTATTGATTTAAATAAAGCAGAGGTTCTTTTGACTCTTATAATGTGATTATCTCTGAGGAAGAAATATATCTAAGATCTGATTTAATACCACTTCCCTACCCTCCCCAGAAAACTGAATAAAAAAACATGATCGACATATATATCGCCCTTAAATGGAAATTTTCAGTACCAAATTAGAAGATAAATACTGACCTTCTAAGTGCATGTTCTACAAGAAAATGTCACAATTTGAGTCACTGACCCAATCGTCTTATTTGTGTCTACATACCGTTGTGCATATTGCCTTATCTTATCAACATGCATTAACATTGATTTCTAATAAATTATGAATATCGCTACATGTAATAATGCATGATCCGATGATAACAGATTTCGGCCATTCCAAGTTTTTTCTCTGTTTAGCGTCCACCCATCTTTCAAAAACCTACCTACCTATTCGCAAAAACCACACAAACCAAAACATAAAACACAAGCTTAAAAGTCAAAGTTAAAAATGATGCCCTTCAATTGATTAATCTAACTAAACTGCTTTAATAGAAAAAATATCTATTCTTAAGCAAAAACAAGGGATTTAATGCTTAAAATACACCCAAAATAACTTACTGTACAGAATTATTTGGAGAAATTTACAAAATAAAAAAATTCGACTAAATTTAGAAATTCAAGGACTCCTGATGTCGTTTGTTTTTTCTTATATGGGGTGTCAAAAGCCAAGGCGCACGCGGACGCTAATCATAGAAAAAAACTTGGAATGGCCTTAAAAAAGATTCTGGCACAGATTGATCGACATTTGCAAAAATGTGTACATGAAAACCTCTTAAGACATATCCTTATAGCTTATTTTTCATCTAAATTACTTTTTGATACGTTTTAGCTCACCTGAGCTGAAAATTCATGTGAGCTTTTCTGATCATCCGATGTCCATCGTCTATCAGTAAACTTTTGGCATTTTTAACTTCTACTCAAGAACCACTGGGCCAATTTTAACCAAACTTGGAACACAGCATATTTGGGTAAAGGGAAGTTTGTTTAAATGAAGGTCCAAATTCTCTTACAAGGGGAGATAATCAAGAAAACAAAAGAATAGGGTTGGGTCATTAAAAAACTTCTTATCAAGAACCACTGAGATTTACATAATGACTCCTCTAGGACACCCCATGCCTTTTATTAAAAGTGGCAAATCCATCGTCAAACTTCATTTCAGAAAAGTATTGTATAGTTATTTGGTTACGTCTTATTGGGAGTGATGGCTTGTCTGCAATGGTGTCGGTTTTACATTCAGCCCTAAAGGGTATATAAGGAAGTCCCCCGAGTATACAAGGTCAGTTTCACACGAGTCATGAACTATGCAGTATCATTTGGGATTACTGAGACAGACAAGACACGCAGTTGGACTTATCATAAAGGCTTATTCCTTCAAAAAGAACAAAGAGCAGCAGGTGCAATCATATCTGGATTGGTTGGAGCCCTTCCACTGGATTACCATCCCTACTTCTTCCTGCAGCACATTTAACCATAGAGCTAAAGCAACGAACTATC